ATTTGGAAGGGATACTTGGGAGTTTTTTGCCCAAACGTTCTAGTGCCCACTACACTACAAATCCCAGGATCCCATAGGATGTAGCCTGAACAGAAAAAGTGGAGTCAAAGGGGCCTGTATTCTGCTTTGTGTGTATACACACAAACTCATATATATATATAGAGAGAGAGAGAGAGAGAGAGAGAGAGAGAGAAAGAGAAAGAGAGAGAGAGATGCATACACACACACACACACAAATATATAGATATAGATACATACAGACATATATACAAACACATACACACAGACACAGAAATATATTGATATACAAGGCAACTATATATTGGAAACAGATACACAGAGAAAAATTTTAAAAAATTAACTTACAAGGTCGACCAGATCCAAAACTGTATCTATTGAATATTGTTGAGGATGGACAGATAGAGGGAAGGAAAAAAAAAGTGTTGTTTTTGACAATAGCAGCAGCTAGAATGATATTTGCAAGATACTGGAAACAGAAAGAAATTTCTTCTTTACAAGAGTGGAAATTAAAAGTTCTAGATATCTATGACATGGACAAACTTTTACATTTGATAAAAGACAAAATCATAAAAGATTTTAATAAGGAATAGCAGGTGTGGAATGCATATTTAGAAATAAAATCCTCTTACTATTCATAACTCTTGCGTTACTATTTATAGTTTGGTACGGTAATGGGGAGGTATATAATATAGATAGTATATGAAATATTAAAATTGGAACGTTTGCTTCTCTTGCTCTTACTCCTCTTAATGTGTGTGGGTTTTGTTTTTTGTTTTTTTTTTGCTGAAATCTGTCTTTATGATACTTAATCTATAATTAATAATTAATCTATAAGTTCTGTAAATAGTAATATCAGTAAGTGGTAAGTATAGGGCTAAGGAAAATAAGTTAAAAGATTTAGAAATAGGTGCTGGGTTGCTTATACACAGGAAATAGGGAGATGGGTTAAGTTTGATAATGGAAACTGGAAATTTGAATGTCTGCTGATTATGTTATATATGAATTTAATATAAGAAATAATCCACCCCTGGAAAACTACCTGGAATGTGTAAGATCTGGATGAAGAATTAAATGAAGTGAGAAAGGAGTTATATTGATATGCAAGAGTGATCCTACATCTTCACAGTGATAGCTAGGAAGTTTTTTCTTTTTGTGTTTGTTTTTTGTTTTGTTTTGTTTTGTTTTTTGATTTCTTTTTTTTCCTATGTCTTGGTTGTCGATATTTCTTTCCGTGATGTTAGCTATGTAACTATGTAGTTTGTAGTATTTCATATTGTGTACATGTATTATGTTGATGTTTTTAAATGTCTTTTAACTTTAATAACTTTAAAAAAAAAAGAAATATATAGCTATAGATACACACACACATATACAAACACATACACACACACAAATATATAGATATAGATACACACACACATATATACAAACACATACACATACACACACAAATAGAGATATAGATACACACACATATACAAACATACACATGCACACACAAATATAGATATAGATACACACACAAATATATACACACACATATATACAAACACATACACACACTCACACAAACATATAGATACACACACATATACAAACACACACACACACACACACATATATATATATATATATACACACAAACCCATACACACACACACACACATATATATAAATATATATACACACGCGCGCGCGCGCACACACACACACACACACACACATATTGCAGCCAAGTGGGATTTGGGTGGGTAGAAATAGGACAGATTTGAACTTTGCTACATATATATATATATATATATATATATATATATATATACACACACAAACCCATACACACGCACACACAAATATAGATATCCAAATACATAATTATAGCACTATGAGTCTATTTGAGTTGCAATGGCTGCATACCATGTAATGGTGGGATATATAGTTTGGTAGGCACTAGTCCCTAGCAGTGATGCCACTTGCCACATTCTTCCTCCTCCTCCTTTTTCTCCTTCTCTTCTTTCGGGTGTTTTTTTGCAACTGGAGCGCGCTCCCGGGCAACTTTCTTGGAACTTTCGCCTCTTTGTGACGCAAACAATGGGTCTTCTTAGGCCAGCCAATGAAAAGCGGGGGGAGCCCCGGCCACGGACCAATCCGGACCCGCTGGACAGTTCCAAGGTTCTGACCGACCTTGGCGCAAGGAGGGCAGGGAGGGGATAAAAGGAGCCCAATGAGAGCCGCGGAGGTTTGGCTGCAGCAGCCGCTCCTGGCTCTTGCGGAGCTCCTTAAACCTTGAGGATCAACACAGAGGCGGGAGATCCCTTGCTGTGTGGACACTTGTACCGCATCGGTCCTCCTTCTGCAGTAGGAGGAAGAGGAGGAGGAGGAGGAGGAAGATTGCTTAGGGAGCTGCTGCTGCTTCCTCCATCCAGGCTCACTGTTCTGCTGCGTGGGATTGGAGAAGGTGGAGCAAAAGAGCCAGGAGAGGAAGTGGCTCCTTCCCTGCAGCAGACGCCGGCTGGCAAGGAGCCCTTGGCCCAGGAGACAGACACCCCCCCCCCTCTGCTGCAAG